AGAGCTCGTGTTTACATTCTGTGTAGACGCTACGGCGTACGCAGGCTAGTGTCGACACTCATGTAAAAATATTTTCCTTTTCCGTTTGACAAATCACAATGAATATTATATGGTGTTTCTTTTTATTTCAGGTATACATGCGAACTATGTAAAGTCGATTTACTGGTAAATGAGAGAGAGGCTCAATGCTGCCAAGAAATCGAAGGCTGCTTAGAAGCGTTAGGGACAGAACTTGTTTTACAAGAAGTAGGTGCTGAGCCAAATTGCATAACGCTTCATCCAGGCTTTGGTTCGGTCTGTTTATCACCCTGGTCATTGCGTCTGGCAGGGCGTAAATTTCGAAAACGTAGAAGGTGATGAAAACAGGCAAGACACATATATATAATAATATATATATATTTATTAAACAAATCTAATATAGCCATTTTTAACCCTGATAAATCCCCACAATTTGTTATCAATCAGAACATTTCATTTATATAAAACTATTACAAATATTACATGAAAAGTTTCTTATATTATAGGTGTTTCCGAAGTGTTGCCTATAGAGAGTATATACTATGTACTATTGGTTTATGGATACTTGGGAAAGAGAAGAATACCTTTACCAGCATGTGCTTATCATGCCATAAGACAAGCTTTTGGTGGAAAAGACTTCAAAGGTTTTGAGGATGACGAAGAGTTGGAATGATATCATCACAATAATATTATGCATCCAAAAGTGCCAGGGCTTCTGACATTTTAAATAAATCTTGTTAACCCATTAATCGCCAGCACTCTCCCCTTGACGAATAAAATCGTCTTGCATTAGAAAGAGTAAAATAATAAAGTAGGGTGCATCAGGGCACAATGCGACTCAATGGGTTAAATAGACACATGGGCGGATAGGCCAGTTACCCATTAAGCACCAGCGCTCTCCCCTTGATGAGCAAAATCGTCTGCCGTTAGACAGAGTAAAATAATAAAGTGGATTGCATCAGGGCGCAATGCGACTCAATGGGTTAATTCCTAGATTGGTAAAAAAGTGGAAAGTTCCCCGAAGTGGGACTGATGTCCGAAGCATATCCCCCATTTGCAAACACTTGAAGTGAGATCAATACAAAAACTGATTTCGATTAATTTTATAAGGCCAGAAAATAATACCAGGGTTCCTGGTGTTTAGAGCTCACTGGTTTGTGATATGATGTATAAAATTCATAAAAATGAAATAAAAAATTCAAAACCGACCTACTCTTCCTAGGTTTTTGTAACATATAATAGGAAACCATGGTATTTCTTGGCCTAATTGATTTCAAATGCCTCACCACTGGGTTGAGGTAGTATGTAGTTTGCAAATTAGTGTAATGTCAAATTTGTTTGTAATTATTTTTTATTACGAGGACAATCCAAAGTGCCAGGCATCAATGATTGACTTTTCCGGACTTTATTTCCCCCTGGACATATTTTGTTGTTGCACGTCATCTCAACTTGAACCATTGTGCCAAACTCTTTCATTTCTACCAGCACATCAGGCTTCTTGCATGTTGCACAAACTTTGAATAGTTCCAACGATTGTGAGAGGAAGACAACAAACTTCGGTTCCATCATGAGGTTTTCATTATTGGGAAAAATGCTATAAGAATAAAGTTAAGAATATTATTCATTTAATTAAATAAACACAACACTTTGTACAGTATATATTGCCCAAAAACATTTTAAAAGTACTTTTTAATGATTGCATTCACTATTTGCACACCTTTTACCATATGTCACATTTTCAATCGCAGTAGCTCTTATTTCAGCTTTGTGCAATTTTTACAAGCAACTTCAACAGTTTCACGTGTGCTAGTCTAAAATAAAATAATATTAAGTAAATACAATAGTTTACAACTACTAACCTGGTCAATTGCTTGGACAAATGTATCCTCTGCACCACTAGGCCCAGGCCATGTTGAGGGTTCATCTTGATCAGTCAATGTTGAAGTAGATGGTTCACCTTTGTCAGTATAAACTTCAGCCATTGTTGAGGTTTCACCTTGTTCAGTCGAGGTGGAGGGTTCACCTTCCTCTTTTAGCAATGTACTTGACCACTTAACATTTATTACCTGTTAGGTATGAATACATATAATTTTAATGAATATATATGGCACGATTTATTATGTATTCTTATATAACATATTCACATTGAACGAAATTAAGGACTGACGACTGGCAATAGTAAAAACATAATTACTAAATGCATTACTTACAGAATATCGGCGATCTCTTGCGGATAAAGGTTTCATTTCATCGCCACTCATGGATACACGCAGATACCAAAGTTGTCTGTCTTTAGTAGCTGTTTCAATTTTGGTTTCTCAGTCGTCAAACCAACAGCGAATGGTCTCACAAAATCTTCGGCCATAAAATGTCTTGAGCATATCTTCGATGAAGCTGTTGGTTCGAAGTTCAGTCTCTTTCGTTTCACAAAGCCAACCTATCGTTTCCTTCGCTTTATTGCCTCTGGCCGATCGTCATTCGCATAGACGCATACGGAATATTGTGCAGCGATATTCCTTCATTTTGGCTAGCAATGTTGGAGCATCCATATGCTACACACCTATGTGGCATCTCTGAACCATGGACGTTCAGCGAAATAAACAGAAAACCGATAAAATATTCTTTTCTCGTGTTTTTAAAAAGGATAAAGTGTTCAATGTTGCTGTTTTACTATAAATGTCCTGTTGTTCTGAAAGCATGTCTTCTCATTCCTACGTCACTTCCGCCTCACAACACAACTAGTTACCAGTAATTGTATCTCACGGTCAAACACAAAAATTTGCCAAAATCCGCAACTTTGAGGCCCAAAAAGTCCATGAAGATCAAATTTTCGTCTTATCAAATATATTGCAAATGCTCTTAAAATTGTCTAAACTATCAGGAAAAATCATTTCCCTGACCCTGATACAGGCACTTTAAGACCTACTCAGTAATGTGTGTCAGAAGGCAAAAATCTATGTCTATGTGCTTCAGGTAGCAACTATTTGCCACGTTTACTGTAATACTACCACTTGCAAGTGATGAACCAGGTGGGAATCGTAATCGTAGTATAAAAATTAATGCCCAGCATACTGTAAACGTACGCAAAAAAAGCCATATATATATATATATATATATATATATATATATATATATATATATATATATATATTGCGAGATAATTAACATCAATCGCCTGATGATCGTACGCTGTACGTGAAACACTGTGTAGCGATGAAATAAAATTTTAAGATTGAAATTTGTTGTTTATGTCTTTTTATTTGCTCTACTGATTTATTGGTGTTGAGCACTCTAGTCCACTACGCACAAATTCAATATTGAATATTATATATATACTGTACATATAGACAATAATATAGACAGATTATCATAAAGTAATCAGTACTACCAATTAATAATGTATGCATACATTCGTATTTTATAAAGTATGATGACTATGAGAGTTCGTGTTCACTATGGCTGAATAACTATTTATGAAAAGCTAAAACTGACACAGACAAAGTGCATTGCAACACAGCCTATTTAGGCAGGCGCTAAACCGGTGTAAACTATATATTATGCAAAGATATAACACTTTTACCGGTAAGATGTATTAAATGCTTCATTTGTACTAAATCAATACCGTTTTTTTCAAAAAAAATTGGGTACGAAATTTACAAATATATAAACGACGCTGTACATCAGCTGGTATTTTTCTGCCTTTATCGCTTTTCTTTATGTTTTATTTTGCCATTTGGGTAGGTTATAGTTTTTGTTTTCCTCTGGAGTCCTTACCCAAAGATCCAACAACAATTTTCACATACAGTATAGCCTGACAGAAATGCCTCAAAATGATGGACAAATGGCCTGTCAAGTCCTAACTTAATATACTAGGGTTTATATATATTGCCCAATATATGGTTGTAATGGGCACAAAACAGATCAAAACTGTTCCTAATAAGTGTCTCTGTAGGAGTAAGTGTTGAATAAAAGCTTGCAAGGCTCACACTACAAATTTGAGTTGTGATTTTAATAGACAATTTTAATCTTTTTTTCATGGCTAAGTGGCTAACAGTAGGAGGCTCAATACCTAGATGTACAGGGTGTCCCCAAAAAAGTACCCTCTATAGAAATTATCCTATTGTTATTACAGCACAGGATTTTATGCGACTGGTAATTAAAAATTCAATTCAATTGTGTTTATGCACGCTTGTCTTCAGCATAGTGCTCAGGCATTCAAATTATAACAATAGGATAATTTCTATAGAGGGTACTTTTTTGGGGACACCCTGTACAAGTAAAGTTTATAGTTCGTATATAAAAAGGCCAGCAAATAGACATGTCATTGAATTCTTCTTGACGAAAATGAATTTATGGTTAGTACATAGAAGTAGATGTGAGTGGGTGAATAAGGGGATGCCTATTTCACAACACTCTACTGTAAATGACATATTTTAATATTTGAAAATTGAAAGGAAAAAATGTTCAATAGCATGTAGACCAAATTATATAGTACATGACTGATTGGATGTATTCTACTACACTTTTCAGATACGAAGAAAAATCATGAGATGTGTAGAAAACTTGGAGAAGAATGCCCTGGTTAAATGTCATGCCATGCACAGAAGGGATTATGACACCTTTGTTCGAAGCAATTAGTATATTCTACTTAACTCATTGAGCACCAGCACTCTCCCCTTCACAAATAAAATTGTCTGCCATTAGACAGAATATAATAATAAAGTAGGGTGCACTGGGGCATATTGCCACTTATCAAAGGCTTACCATATACTGGTCAACCCATGGAGTGATAGAGCTCTCCCCATGCATTGACAAGTATATTTGTCTGGCATTTGACAGGAAAATTATACAGTGCATTATTGTCACATATCAAAAGGGATAATTATTATTAATTAGGGCCCACAGCAACTCTTTTGTTCCCTAGCTCAGGGGGTGGGGGTGGGGGGGGGGTTAGGTTGCACTCACAATTAAATAATTGAAACAATTAGCTGGTTTGACATTTTAATTGATTATTGCAATATTTTCACACTGATATTGTAATTTGTTAATTTTATTTTTAGTATGAAAATAATGTAATCTAATAATTATGACCATAAATCAAAATACTGTTTAATAAAATTGTATTTTATGTGGATGTAGTTAATTAAATAATATATTCATCAACAGTTTGTGACTTCTCTTTCCCAACATGTTGCTCAATGCTGCTTTATTCCTGAAAAAGTATGTGAGAAATAAGAAATTAATATCAGTGGTGGATCGAGGAAAGTTTTTTTTTGGGGGGGGGGTGCTAACCAATGGCGAAATGAGCGCCGAAGGCGCAAGATTTCTAGGGTGGTCCGGGACATACTCCCGAAAATTTTTAAAATTTGGGTCTCTGAAATGGCATTTCCAGCATTCTGAGAAAACATTCTGAGAAATTTTTAGATTCTCAAAACATTTAAAAATTCAGAATATTTAATATTGGCTATTCCGCTATTGTCAACTATAGTGATACGCAACTGAGTTCCTTAACATAAGTTGGTTAGAATTAAGATAAATGTCATTTTTGCACACCCCCCCCC